AACCCTCAGCTGTGTATGTCTCCCTACTGAAAAAGTAACAGTCTGGATATGTCTGCTGAACACTTGCAACATTTGCTAACTTTAATAAATTTACTTTGGGGGGAGTTGGAATATATTTGTCAGCACTTGTAACATATACTATCACGAGACATAAAACTAATTGGATACTTAGAATCTTATGTGCCAGACGTGCCTTTTGCTCCTGTGTGTTTAGCCTCCAAATGAGTATTGTGTAAACATGAGAAAATGATTAATCCAGACCATTAATCTGTTAGGTGTATTCTGGATTGAATTCTGTTCGAAATCGTCTTACGTAATGTAAAATAAAAACAAAAAATTGGAAGTATGCTCAGATTACACTGCATGCTTGCATTCACTGGAATTCAAACAATGCATGTACCTTGCTATTACGACTTGTCAGTGCCTTTTTTGGCACAGTGCAAACTTACGAGTAGTCATTCTATTCTTGATGTGTCACTGAGATAATAACCCAGAGCCTTATCGTGTTTCTTCGTGCATACAAGGTTTGACCATCATCTCTTCCCCCCCCACCTATTCAAAGGACTGAAGAAAAGACAAGTCATTTTAAGTTAGGCAAAATGAAAGACAAAAGAATAACTGATAATGGGAGGGCAATTGTTGTGAAACTGCTGATAAAATCCTGCAGAAGTAATTAGCTGATGGAAATCAAATGAGTCTTGTGTGAGGCAGGCAGGGATCATAGCGTACATGCTGTGGATGCCAACAAACAGCAATGCCATTCGACAGATGGATCAGAGCACTCCTGACCTAAACTGGGCTAAAAGCTCATGGTCACGTGACTAATGGATTAGTGTTAGCCCAGCTGAAGGAGGAGGTGGTTAGCAAGCATGTCACCACATGCTTCCTGATCACTTCCCTTTGAATGTGTTTCCCCTTTCTCTTTCACACTAAATCTCCCCTCATCCCTGTTTGTCTGTAACTGTTATTACTACATTACTAAATGGCTGGGGTCACGTTCATTGACACACAGTTGGATCACAAGCAAATGAACTTCTTACCCTCTTTCCATTCACGTAATTCTTCGGCGCACTTTCTTCCTCTGTTCATAGTGACAAGAAGCTCCACGCTTATCACAATCATTAGTGTATAATTGACATCTTTGACACCTCAGCTCTGACTCACCAACTCAAATCAAAACCACTGCCCTATTATTCTCATTTCCAGCCACTCATGAGGTCAATGCTTAGAACAAATCCTTTGTGATATCCTTCCTAACTAACCTCACTACTTACGTTAATGTTTTTTCTATACTTGTATGAAAGTGGGGATGCAAAAAGGGAGAGGCAAAGACAAGCTTAATGATGCTTTGACCACACAGCACAGTTGGCTTACAGGACAAAACACTGAGTTTTCCTGTCTCCCCTGCTGCCATCCCTCTTGCATCAGGGGTTCCTGTCAGGGACGGCGTGTACCAGCCAACTCATGCCTGGCCAACATGCCATATTTCCATGTCAACTGAATGTCTTCCTTTCCAAAGAAACTTTTTTTTTTTTTTGGCCTGTCCCGTTTGGCTCTTTTGCCATCAGAATTGTTGTCTAAAGGCAAAGAAAGATGCCCAACGGATTTACTTTACCAAACTGACCATCCCAGCCTTGCCGTAATGGTCCATTTGATTCACCTTTTATTGTTTATTTTATTTTCACTTACTGAATACGGGACAGACTTGACTGGGGGAAAGAAGGGGAGAAAGAAAGAGGGAAAGAGAAACAGCTGAGAAGAAGGACGGGGGAGAAGGGCAAAAGACAAAAACCAACAGAACGGGCAGAGAAAAAAAAAATGCATATATCAATCACCTGCTGAGAAAGAAAAAAGAAAGCAAGCAGAAGAGAACAAGAGTAATAGAATAAACAACATCACAATGATATATGGGAATATGACAGTAAATACTAAATGTTAAACATTATTGTGCAGCACATAAGATCAACAGAACACAGTGTGCTTTGAGGTAGGAGCCAAAAAGGGTGTAGTTTGTGGGTGTGATCACCCGTGTGTACACCTGTGAGCATGGACGCGCTTGTTTTTTGTTTTTTTAAAAGGTTCCTTCATGTAATAATCTGCTAGAGGGTGTGGGGGGGCCACAGCCCCGTCCTCCAGGGCGTGAAGCAGGTGTGGAGGAGATCAAAACTCCAGACATCCAGAGGCCCCCAGAACACAAGAGACCAAGGAAGACCAACAGAGGGGTCCAAAGAAACTTAGGAAAAACTTCCATTCCTATGCACAATGCACAGGAGCAATGTAGGGAGCAGGCAGCATAGCACAGTTCTTGCCAACAGGGTTAAAGGCTAAAAATACTGACCACTATTTCCTGCAGACTGATTGAATTTTTTTCCATGACTGAAAGAGCAGAAATGGAAAAATGGCTAAAAATATTACAATTAATAGAAATAATAATAATAATAATAATAATAATAAAACTAAAAATGACAAGGAAAATAGTCTTGAGTCATACACTGAGAGGTGTAAACATCAACAACATATGAAATACCAAAACACCCACAAATTATAAACATAAACAATTCATATCTCCACTTCCCTGCCTTTAGGGTTATGTTTTGAAATTGTTCTTTCCCAAATGCAAAGGAGCTAAAACGAGCTAAACAATTATGACAACAGCTGCTCTTTCACCAACTGATTCTAAAAAAATCACCTCGAGCCAATTTCTAAATTAAAATGAGGCACAAGCTACCAACTCCTGCTGCTGTATTGAGATGAGAGAAGTCAAAGAGAAGTCATAGCGTCTTCCAGAAGACATTATCACAGAAGGATGGTGGCATTATCACAAGGCTCAATTACTCCGAGCCACAAGAAGCAAAGGCAATGTCATCCCAGTTGTCAAGAAAAAAAATGTTACAGGTTTATCGAAGGCAAATATTATGAGGTCTTACTGGAGCAACAAAGTGACAAAAGATAAGGGGATGGTATAATCTTTGCAGCTAAGCTCATCTGCAGTTCTTGAAAATGACACAAATACAACAAAGAAACAGTGATATTTTAATGTTGTTTGTAAGACGCACAAACTGTAGACTTGGTACAGAAGGCATTCCTTTGGCAGCTTTGTTTTGACCTTTAAGCACTATCCTTTCATGCTTTTGGGAAATTAAATATCAACAGGAAAAGCAAACAGTGACAAAATGTTCTGTTTGACAGCAACAATTGGGAGAGCTGAAATGAATTATGGAGGCACGCTCAAAATGTCCTTGCACCTTTTAAATTTGTAACTCAATTTTTATGTGAATATGGCAGTTAGTACAAAGCTGGCATAGAGCACTTATGTTACGGAGCAGCTCTTTCACCTATTTTCAATCTAGTCCTTGCATCTGACCATTTTCAAAGTAATGTGTTGTTGTTTTTTTTGTTTTTTAAGCCACTTAACACTGACCTATTAATCATTCAAGCATAAAAAGGCACCTAACTCAAGGGATGAACCAGTGTTGCATCTACACATAACAAACAACTTAGTTAAATTATACCTTTGGGTACTTTGTTACTAGCAAAGTGCCTAAAGTTTAATCCCACTTTTTTCTTTCTTCAACACCAACAAGTTGATTCCCAAAGAGCTATTAGCTATAAACTTGGTATATCTCTATGTGGTGTGCAGTGTGTCTTAAAAAAATTTGAGGAAAACAGATAAGTGCAAGATAAAAGGCATGACAGGCGTAAAAAAAAATTACTGAAAGCAGATGATGTGTGAAGTGTCCACAGACATCAGGAAAGCACGGTGGAGGATAAGTCATGGTTTGGCACTGCATTTAAACCAGTGGTGCTGGGGATCTTGTCAAAATTAATGGGAATTATGTCATCATCAGATTTTGATCCACTATGCAATACCATCTGGATTGCATCTGACTGGAAAATGCTTCATTTTTGAACATGACAATGATCCCAAATACACTGCCAATGCAGTAAAAGCATACCTGAATAGAAAACACACACACACACACACACACACACACAGTGGAACACTATCAGTCATGGATTGGAATCCCGAGATCGTGGACATCAACATTATTTACGCAGTGTGGGATCATCTTCTAAGAGAATGGAACAAAAAGGCAGCCAACATTCAAAGAAAAGCTTTGGAATAGTCTTCGAGAAGCTTGGAGAATTACTCCTCAATACTATGTAAAGAAATAAAAAGAAAGCTGCTTAAGAGAGTTCAGGCTGTGTTGACGAATAAAGATGATCATACCAAATATTGACTTTCAAACTCAGAACTGTTTTTGCTGGGGGGGTTTTGTTTTCTTTTTGCCTTATGTCTTATGCACTGTGATTCCATTTATGTTTGCACGTTTCAGGAAATTGCTTCACCCATTTCCTTAAAAAAAAAACAAAAAAAAAAACAACAACTTAAAGAAATGAGGGGTAGCTCAAGACTTTTTTTTTTTTTGCTCAGTAATATATGCGAGGCTGGAAGGGATAGTTGACCATAGACAAAACTTAAAGCTAACCATGACCGCGCGTCAAAGCCTGCCATTACAGCAGCGAAGATGAAATGGTTGCTTGCCATAAATAGAGCTTTACACCTTTAACAATATACAGGCATCAAAAAGAAACGGGGGGGGGGCAGAGATAATATGCTGAGTAGTAGGTCAAGATGACAGCAAACTCACTGGCTCGACAGAGACGCTGTCAGCCCGAATTTAGAAATATTACTGGGAATGTTCGCGCGCGCAGGGGGACCTGCCTGTTGATTCATCCGCGTTAATAAAGCCCCAAAAATTTAAAAAAAATAAAATGTGGAAAAGTAGCCTACTCCAGCACAATTCATATCACTGCCATCCAAATTGATTCACAACGTCTGCAGACGGAGAAGCGCTGCCGCACTCGCAGTTTGTTTACAAAGCGCTGTCACAATATTCTTTCGCAACGGGCACCTTCAGTGGGACAAGGCGAGGACATTCACCTCTTCGGGGGGAGAAAAAGAAGCACATTCAAGCGAATTAAACTGTCACACTCACCTCTGTGGATCGACTGAAGTTGCTGTCCTTTTTCATAAAATGTGGGGTGAGGCTGCAGAGACGTGTGCAACCTACAACATGGACCTCTCCGTCAGTCAGTTCCCAACAGTTCGCTTCACAGTTCACTGCGCGCTCTCTCTCTCTTTCTATCTCTCCCTCTGTGTGTGTGTGTGTGTGTGTGCGTATTTCTCGCTCGCTGACAAACCACCCACTTCCGGCGGTTCTTGCACGTCTGTCAAGAGTAACAGTTTCTACTGATTTCTGCCCTGATGACGGATTTCGGGAGGTTCTGAAAGCGTTTTGACATTTAGTAAATACACACATAAAATAAATCAGTTACAGCTGTGTTCTCCATGTTGAAACTTCAGATTTGTTATTTTATGTGCATGTTTCATCGAGTCCGATTTTATAGCTAGGGTACTCAACACGGCGTTTAATTTCAACTTTGGAACAATGCTTTGGGTCACGGTACATATTGGATGTAAAGATCGCCTGCCTAAGAACCAAAAATACCAAAGGAAATAACAATAATAATCAGAGCTCTTCTCTGCTGCACATTATACGTGCAGATCCGTTGGTTAGATTTTGCTTAATCTCCCACACGATAATAAGTCTCCCACAAATTGAAGAATGGCGACACCTGCTGGTGAGAATTTAGCATAATGTTCTAAAAACAGCAACAACAAAGCGAAAGAAACTTAAAAAAAAAACCCCGTATATATTGTTTGCATCATTCATAGCTGTCTGTATTTTTAGTATAAGGGCTTAAATGAATATTTAAATGTACTTTTCTGAAACTAAACTGCCCCGTACTTGACTAAATGTTTCTTTATTATCAATTTAACAGGCTGTGGTCTGAGAGGCTGAGACAAACAGGAGGTGGCAGAGACCAAAGATAAACCTGCCACAAATAATTAGAGGACAGTGTGGCCTCGGGGAGCCATCTAACAGAGAGCCACACATTATTGTGTGACACTAAATAAAGAATACGGTAACATCAAGTGAACAGTTGCTCATCACTGAAGAACAAACACTTGTTCATTTTAAGTGTATCATAGCTACTTTATTTATCTCATAGATAAATAAGAAGTACCAAAATCCATATATTCATAGGTTACTGCATGTGGAATACTGTCTTTCAACTACTGGTCTGAAAATGCTGTGAAAATAATGTAGAAAAACCTTTAACATTTAAGTCATTCAGTTCTTTCCGTGTTTTTAATTCAAACAAAAAAAATAAAAGAAGAAGAAGGAGGAACTATCAGATAGTCTATCAGCTATACATTGATGAATACTTCCTTCTTAAACATGATTTTTTTTTTTAAATCCAGTACATTAATTGTAAAGATGTATTCTTTACCTATGACTTAATTTGAAAAATTCCAGAGTTTGCTTTTCAGTTGTAGCTGAATATAATCTGAGAAATCCCCTGTGATGCTGTAGAAATTAATGGCTTCATTTTTTCACCTGCTTGTCAGAGTGTCATCATTTTTAGCACTCTCTCTCTCAGACACACACAGACACACACAGCAGCCACCACACATACAGCTTCATTGATTCTCCAGATTGACTGGCTGCGGTCCAGAATTGAAGGGTGACAGTTGCTTCCTGAGACAGCTGAGTCAGCAGCTGCTGTCGGTAATAGCTCTACATCGTAACACCCCCTCATCTCCTCAAACCAGCCTGTGTTCATTTCCTATCCTCAAGGCTAACCAAATATACACAAGACAGAAAGTAACCGAGTGTGACAGCATGGCAGAGACTTAGTGATCTAGAATATACCTCCTTCCTTTGTTTGTTTTGCCGTCTCTCTCTGTTGTCATGTATTTGCAATTGGGCCCTTGGGAATCCAGGCGGCGGCAGAGCTGTTGTTCACATTGGTATTGTTACACTTGAAGATGCAAACAAAACAATGTGGGGTTTCCAGGCAGGGAAATCCAGCAATCATGTGCCGAGAGATCGTTCATCAAAGACAGAGTGAAAAACTCTCATATTGAAAATGGGAAGTAAAATAACAGCTCATCTCTCATGAATTCACAGAAGTCTTTTTTTATGGCTGTATAAATGTACAATAGGTTGCTGTTTGTCACAACTGTTAAAACCTACCTTGGCACAGTTTCATTAAAATATGTTCAGCCCTTTTTAGAATGGTTGCCTAAGTTTGTCTTATTTATTCATAGTGCCAAGCAAATAAATACATCTAAAAGAAGGAAAGAAACATAAGTTTAAATATTTTGTACACCCTAATGGTTGTTTCGGATTTATTCATGTACACTAACCTACTTACACTCAATAAAAGAGTTCATCAAATGCACTTCGTTGTGTTTTTTTTTCTTCATCAGAAGAGGGTTCAGCTGTTTCGTGGAAATTTAAAACACTTATTTATTGTCTTTTTTTTATCTGGAGTTTGTCTTTGTTTCCTATGTTATTCTTGGTTTTCCTTTAATACTGGTACACTTTGAATATATTTTCTGCAATGACGTCTCACTTGTTTGTGGGCCTGAAGCAGTTCCTGGAATTTTAAAGCCAAACTTATTGGACATTGAAATTGACTCGTAAACATGTTTTACACGTTTCCACTGTGTTGGGTGAGTTTTCTCTCTTTATCTGTAGTAGCTGGACTCATCAACTTTGGCTTGTGACTGTTTGAGTTGAGTTGAACACCATTAATCTAAACCATTGATAAATAATGTTTATATCAGAGTCTGTCCCTACCATGTGAAAGTTTCAGCAGTAAACAAGACTCATCAGGCCAATCTTCTGTTGCCCGAATTGTAGCCATGCTTCCCTGTTTTTCATGGGCAGGAGTGGCACTCAGTCTAGTCTTCTACTGTTGTGGCCCATCTGCCTCCAAGTTTGATGTGTTATGTGTTATGCATCGCTTGATTTGGTGATCACTTGAGTTGCCATCGCCTTCCTATTAGCTCAATGTATTGAGGGTATTCTCCCGTGACGTCTGGTATCAACAAGATATTTTTGCCCACAGAACTGCTGCTCAGTGGATATTTTCTCTTTTTCAGACCGCTCTGTCTAAACTCTCGAGATGAGTGTGTGTGAAAAATCCCAGTAGATCAGCAGTTTCTGAAATACTCACATCAGCATCTCCTGCAGCAGCAACCAAGAAACATTCAAATTTACTTCCTTCCCCAATCTTACGCTTGATTAACTAACTTAACTTTAGTAGGTCATCTTGATCATGTATATCTGCCTAAATAGACTAAGTTGCTACCATCTGATGAGCTGATTAGATACTTGCATTAACGAGCAGCTGAACAGGTGTACATAACAAGGTGGCCAGTGAGTGTGTACAGCAATAAGAAAACTAAAAACAATACACAATTCTATAATGAAGGGTCTCTTTCATTTTCACAGCAGAAATATGCTTACCAAGGTAGAGAGAAATCATATTTGTTAGTAATTATAATAAGATTGAACTCTGTTCTCTTGAAATGTCCCAAGTTAGAAAACTCTGACCTACAACCAATACACACAATAGTAGTACAGTGAAACACACACAATTCAGTGGAAGTCAGCAGTTACTAACGCCTGCTTTTTTATTACACACATCTGTGTGTACTCCACATTCCTTCAGTCCTTCAAGATTGCTTTTATAGCTTACCCAGTCGATGCAGCATATACGTCTTTGTAAGTGCCCCAGTAAACTTATTACAAGCAGTTTAGTTCATGATTAAAAAACCTAAAGTTTAATTACAGAACAAACCTTTACAAAACACTAAACTATCAGTATTTCTGAATCTGTCATGGTCATGGGTCTGTGACCCAGTGTTTATGTGTTTTTTGGTTTAATTCATATTCTTTGATTTAGTGTTATTCGTGGTTCTGTTTCCTCGCTCTTCCTAGTTTAGTCATTTGCATTTCTAGTTTTTAGGTTCTTGCTCATTGAGTCTGTTCCCTTTTGTGCTCTGGTTGTCCCGTCTGTGTTCTCCCCAGCCCGTCATGTCTCTTGCCCTTTCTGTCTCTTCAGTCTGTCTTGTACCCATGCCTGTTTCTCCCTCGGTCCCAGTGTCAAGCCCTTGTCTCTTACTCTGTAATTCAGTGTGTTTCCTGTTTTATTTTGACAGTCTCTCATCCTGTGTTCAGTGAGTTCAGTTTCGCTTCCTCCCTCGCTCATTGTGTCTGATTACTTCCAGCTGTGTCCCCTCCTGTTTTCCATTCTTTCCTTATCCTCTGCGTAATTATGTCCTCCGCCTTGCTCTGCTTGTTGTCGTGTTGCTCACGTTGCTGTGTGTCTCCATATCTATCTACATATATATATATATATATATATATATATATATATATATATATATATATATATATAAATAACTCGCTTATGCACCCTCGGGGGCGTCTCCCATTTCGACTTCGGGACTTCCAGGCCATACTCGGCACAGATATTTTTGTATACTATGACAGCCACATTGTTTTGGGGTTCCATGTATGCCCCGCCTGCTAGCATCTTGCACCCTGCTTTTATGTGCTGGACTGTCTCAGGAGCATCTTTACACAGCCTGTCTTGAGGCGCCGGTATATATTAGGTTATTTAGCAACAGATAAGTAAGCTTTGAAAAGAGCATCATAGAAAGGCAGAATGCCTCAGAAGCAAAGACGGGAAGAGGTGTACAAATCTGCAGAAAAGAGCGTCAAACAATTTTTGAAATTGTCAATTTCAGAATAATTTCCCTGGATGTGAAATTGTGAATACTTTTAATATCTTCATAAGATTGCAAGAATCTGGATAAATTTGCATACCAGATTCAGTTTTGGATCCCTCTGATCTTCAGGCCCTCAGGCAGTACTGCAATAAAAACAGACAAAATTCTGTGTTGTAATCACTGGAATAAGTCCAGAAATCATTGTCTGTGAACACAGTTCACCACAACATCCATCTTTTTGGGACGAAGTCTAATTTAAAATAGACTGAGACAAAGTGGAAAATTGCTCTGTGGTCAGATAAATCAAAATCTGGAATTGTTTTTGGAAAAGAACGTCATATACTTGAGGAGAAGGATCATCTAGTTTTTTATCAGCGCTCAGTCCAAAAGGATACAGTTTTGATGGTAGCGGAGTAAAAGGTATAGACGGGTTTTAAAGCAACATACGTTCCCATCCAGACACTGGTTTTTAGAGAAAGCCTTACATA